ATGAGTGTTGATATCATGGATATTTGCTGCAGATAAGTTCTTTCAATGTATGCATGAGCTGTTAGAAATGTAGAATGGAGAACATGAAATAGAATTTGTATCAGGGTAGAAGGGAATTATACAGTATAGAGCTCGCTTGGCTTTTTTCATGTAATGAAAATGGTTCAAATTCAGGAGGTTTAAGAGGGACATATGACAACCCTGTTCCCATCAAAATATAACTTTCTAAAATGGTTCTTTTGCCTTGAACAGATTCAAACTAGTACGTATAAAACATATGGCATTTTCCATTAAAGCAAAGACCTGAGGTATCTTGATTCAGAAAAATTAGAGAGAAATAAAGAGAAGTTTGTTTGTGCTAATAGGTTAAAAATCTGTAGCTTGAATTGAATTGTTGTGTAGAATTTGCATTAGAGAGAGCTGACAATTGCACTAGCTACGACCTTTCTCCGACGACTTCGACAATTGGCGAAGATGTTCCAGAAACCCAGTATTATCACGCAGGGCTCGACACTAACTTTTCAACTTACTAGTCAAGTGGCAGGTGACATCTTAGATTTTACGACTATTTTAATTTATTTACTAACCAAACTGGCTGGTGGAAATCGAAAACCGGTAGCTAAAACTGAATTTCTACTAGTCTGTGGCTAGTGGGCTACCGTTAAGTGTCGAACCCTGATCACGTCAAGCTCAATCAGAGAAATAGAAAACCCTGAATGCGTAAACACTGAAGTAAGTTCGTTTGGTTTCTCGATTCCAAAAGTCTAGTGGGATAAAAATCCTGAACACAGTTGAAGGGCTAACGCTCGAAACGTCAGCTTTTTTATTCCTTACGGTGGCCAATTTACAATTTCAACTTAGTTGATATAACCAATTATCGAATTATTTTGAGTTTTTTAAATCCATAGATATTGTCGCCAAGTCAAACTCGGTCAGGGAACCGGTAACATACTGAGAAGGAAAACAAGGTGAAGAACTAACGCTCTGTATCCAAGCGCCCGCCTGCTTTTGTCACCGTTCTTTCGCCTATCCTCTCTAGTAAAAGTCGACCTCGTTCCTATTTCCCGCGCTAACAACCAGCGGCGGGAAAAAAGACGGCAGCCGCGTTAGAATAGGAGGCAAATTATGGCAAAAATAAGTATGAAATTATCTGTAAAAGGCATAATTATACGCGCAGCGAGTGTAGTTGTACAACTATAAGGCTCACAAGAGTGAAAGAAAGCCAGTATCAATGGGAAGTTAACTTTTTCATGATAGGGGTCATGCATGCTTGCGCGACAGAGCTGAATAATGAAATGCTACGTCAGCGGGTTGCCGTCAAGAACGCGGGCTCAAGTGTCCTAGGTCTAAAATTTAGCGAAATTAGCGGAAAATAGTAAGGGCTGACTTTTAAAACCGAGGAACTCTGTTTTCGTTGAAGGCATTTTCCTATTTTCAGAGATTTTAAGGAGAAAATTAATTTTTGAAACTTTTCAGGGGGTGTACCAAGTTTTTGGAGGTTGTTCTGTAATAGAAAAGCGGCAAGGAAAACGACACCTCGAAGCAACAGAATAGGAAATAATTCATGCGAACCACTCAAAATCCGTGTTTCCGCGGCTTAAATCTGCACGTTATTCAGCTCTGTCTGCTTGCGCAAACTGCGGGCGGCGGAACCTTTGGCCTTAGCCTTTTCCGCCGTTTGTGAATAGACATGCACTTTCTATTTTTGTGTTGGGTTTATTTAAAAATTAGCGGAAAAGTATCAGAAGTAAGAGGTTCTTTTGCGGTTTTCCTAATTGTCTCTGATATTTCGTCAAAAGCCTGCGTCAAACCGCGTAACCAAAGAGAGAAAATTACCTCTAGTTTGGTGGTGTCAACAAGTAGAAAGTGAGTTTTGTTCTAAACTTTACGACTTATCCAAATCGCCCTAAAACGCGGTTGAATTAGTGACTTATGGGAAATCGATGATAGCATTAATTCTCCAGCAAAATTTTACATCGAAACACTTCGGTTTTTATTACAAATCTTGGAAAGTAAGCGCGTATATATGTTAACAAGATTTCCGAATTTCAATCTAATTGAGAGCCAACGGACTGCTTCATGAACCTTTGCTAAGAACTTTTATAATAACCTAAAATATTCAGATTAAAATATAACGAAAATCTGGATTTGTCTTATGATACTATGTCTAACTTTCGTGATATAAGACATCAATGTTTATTGTCATCGAGCAGATAAAAGTGACGTTTAGCGCTACGAACAGAAAGCCCATCTGGCCTGTTTGATAAGGCGACATGAAAAGAAAAGAATTATTCTCTCGAAATTTCTTCCAATAAAATGACACCAGCCCCAAAATTTTCGGATACAACAAAGCTGTGTTAGATTTTTCTAGATATGGTGATCTGTTTCAAAGCTTCGAACGTTTAAAATGGAGAATAACTACATTCCAGAGTTGTTATAATCGTCGTTGTTTTTTTTTTAACGAAAATACCCATCTTCTAAAGGCTGCTGACCAATTTGCCTGGAGCAGCGCTCAGATGGACTTCGGCATGCGTAAGTCACGTCCTTTGCTTGTACGAAAAATGAGATTTTGACTCAGTTCTAACTGTAATTTCCTCTCCATTATGCCATAATATAGACCACTAAAACTGTTTCTTACTTTTTCCTTTCCATAACGTTCATCTATTAAGACTGAGGCGTTGTTCATCTTGACAGATACTAAAAGCTAGGAAACAGATCAGCCACCAATTACCTTCAACTTAAAAGCTTAAATCATTATGTTGTAACCTTGCACATTTAAGCCTGAGCTTCTTTCACATCTCGCGTTTCAGAAAAAATAAAACTCATTCCAAGACAGAGTCACGCTTTTAGGTGTAGGTGATATCAATCTTTTTTTTTTTTCAGGCTTATTATTTAATGAGAGTTTCAACTAGATGTCAAATTTTCTGAATAAAAAATTCAGCTTCAACGAATTTTTGGTCCCAACAGACTAAACGAGAAATGACAAAACTAGTACTGTTGATTAAAATGACAGCTACCAAACAAAATCCTTTTCTTCATAATCTCGACCACCCTGGACTGAAGGGAAAAAAAACAAACTGTAGATAAAAGCAATCCTGTCGGCAATCAGTGATTTTTTAAAAACAGTTATTCTACATCCTGTTCTAACTTCACAGTTGCGAAACTTTTGTAATATTAAGATTTGTTTCCCTGCCGCATAATCCGCTTTTACAGATTAACCTGCCCTACCCAGGAGATTAATATCAATCTTGTTCTCTTGGACTATATTGTAGAAACCCAGTTTATGCGACAAACTACAACCTAAAACGGATTTAAATATTGTTCAATCTGCCCGTGACATAGATCATCGTCTCAGTTACCTAATTCTTGTTTAGTTGAATGTGCGGATAGATTACCCTTCCTTCTGATGTTTTCGAATTCTTGAATACTCATTGGCAATATACGTAGTATACTTGTTCATTCTAAGTAAAACGTCTAAGCCTTGGGAATTATTTGAAGGAAGCTCCAGGTTTTTAGAGAATTTCTCACTCTCGTGATAATAATGCGGATAAATAATAGTACAAACTTTTAATCGTTAAACAAATAACCAATATAAGTTTGTTTGGCAAACGATTGATGAATAAATATAAGCAAGGGAAGACTCTTTCTTGGTAGATGTACATTAAGTCGTTTAAAAAAATTGATCAATTATTTACAATGGATACTCATCAAACAGAGATATCTGTCACCATCTTCTAAAGTTAGTTGTTTACACAGGGTGTTCGAAATCTTTTAAGTAAGCTATACAATTACAGTACCTTCGAGATTATACAATTGAACCGCGAAATAATTTTAAAAACTCCGGCTGAATTTTGTCAACATATATTTTTCATTGAGGTAAGAAGCAAATTTATCAAGCTACAAACTAACGTTAAAGAAAAAAATACATAATATTGTCTCCTCGTTATCCTATCAATTGGAATGAAATGCTTTTCAACCTATCGTAAACAAAATAAGAACTACGTATGATGCACGATCCTCGCAGTAGAGAGCGCTATTTATGCAATAGCGAAAATTAGACCTGGAAAAAAAACTATAACCGCAGTTCAAAATTTATGAACTTCATATACTCATCGTATCCAAAATAAGAACTACGTAGATTATCCACCGTTGGACGCAGGTTACATGCTCTCCTACGTTTGTTGCCAGTTGTTACTCGAATGGAAATTTAATTGTTTACCACTTTGATTTCCCTGGTTTAAACGGATAAAACACCATTTAATCCTAGGTCCATATATAAAGTGCCAAAAACTATGTTTTGATCAGCAGATATCTCTCTCTCGCTTTTAGTTTACATAATGGGTCACATTCCTGCAGAAGGGAGGGTAGTTAAAAATTCAAGCAATTTGCAAAGTTTTTTCGAAGAACAAATTTTTAACCGTGATGGAATATCCACTTTGAGAGATCTGCAACTGGACTGTAGTAAAATAAGCGCTTATATCAATATTAAACGGGATCGTTTTTTTACCCTTTAAACTTTAAGAGTGACTAACATCTAATTTATCCTTAAAATATCACCAAGGGGGTACTCGATATATTCCTGGGTGGGGAGGTGCGGCGCGGCCCCTCATACCCTGACCCTGTTTAAGACAAATATCGCTGATTTTCCTACCCTGTTTAAGACAGAATTCCGATTTTTGATACCCTGTTTAAGACAAAAATCTCGAAAAACATACCCTGGCTGGCCGCACGTCCCCATTAAGCCCTTATAAGGGAGTACCCCCCCGGGAAATATCACCCCAGAATCAAACATTAGGGTCATGAGAATAAAGGAAATGATCACTAACTAAAGAAGCTCTTAATTGCCAAACAAATTCTCCTTGTCAGCGCGTTAGAAAATGTATAGACGACAGTATGGAGAATATGCCTACTGATGTTAGGGTGTACCGGTGTAAGGGTCAAATTATTTTCTGTAAAGCTTTGTCAAATCATTAATTCATTAGATGCAATAACGACAAATATTTCGTTGAGACGGAACTGTCATGGTTTGAATCACAAATTTAACAGATAATTCAACTTTTGCAGTATAAGTGGTTTTCCTGATTTAAATTGTCTAGATTCATATCATACTCTGCATTTTTTCAATAGAATTGTAATAAATACACTTAGAAAAAAGTATTTGTACAAACCGACTAAAGGTATTTCGTTCCTCAGAGGAAGAAATACAATTATACAATTTCTACTAGTCTTGAGAAGGGAATTTCATGTGTTCATGAAATGAGCAAAATAGCAGACAGAGGGCACGAAAAGGTCATTCTGATCAACTGTTCAGCATTTGCAGAAACCGTAAACTGAAATTAAGGGCCTTCTTCGAACAGTGGCCAGTGCTCCGACTCGAAACACCTTATCACAATATGTATTTACATCTGGGCTACTTTACCTATAATCAATTTTCTCAATGAATCAAACCACTCTGATATTTTTGTTGCCTCTACTGTTTGGGTGTAGTTTTTGCTAAGTTACTCATAACGTCCAAAATATTTTACAAGACTAAACGCTGTATGTATACGTCATACGAACTCCCTGAGCTGCGGGCTAAAGTTTAAGGTAGCCAAGGTAACGAGTTCATAAGTAAACTGATAAGTGCTGTCAGCGGGGTGCCAATGGCAGGCCATAATTAGCCTAATTATCATTGTATTTATCAGTCATATTCAATAAAAATCAAATAATTCAAAATGCAAAGGTCCGATGCCGAGAAATTGATCACGGCACTCTTCTGAGCTTTAAATTCAAGATGTCTCGTCAGTAATTCCAAGAATTATCACAGTTTTATGAGGTTTCACCATTTAGAAACTCTGCTGCTTCTGATATTTTGATGCTGCCAAGTATATAGATAACACTTGAAAGTCGACATAGAATAAACCACATTGCTGTGAACTGAAGCGGCACGTAGAGTCGTTTCTAGCCTTTACACATGATATCCACTGCCTCCACCTTGGTCAAGATCACAGGTGCCATAATGAAAGGCTTAGCTTTTGGAAGTTTTCACTAGTTTCCCGAGGCAATTTCATACCAACTTGTGTAAATTTCATGAAGGGTTCTTGCATACCAATGCATACCTGAGCTATTGTGAGCAGTGATGCCCGGGAAAAGCCAATCTGCAAACCTCAGTGGGGCAAAACTCCAATGAGCTAATTCATGATTGGAAATTACGGCATAACACGAGCAAAGGACGTTATCAACTAAAATGTTTCCAGTTTCCGTGAGTGGTGCGTATGCCCCCTTAGCTGTGCTCCGTTTGACTCCACTCACGCGTCCAGCTGTGAATTTCTCTAAACCAGCACCGTTTCGGACGTAAACAAAGTCTCCGACTCTTAAGTCCCGAGCAAAACGCACCGACTCCAGTGGCGAATGTTTGTTTAGCTGATAGATCAAATGCGATTCCGTAATTGTCACTTCAGCCTCAGGGTTTCTCGTCTGGATGGATAGATACTCACTTGAAGTGTTGGGTTTAATGTCTAGAAATGTCACCACTCTGCTGTAAACTATGCGACCACTTGTATCCATGGCTGCAACCTTGTCCCCAATTTTAAGCTCCTTCATAGTCTTTGTACGTCCTCCTTCGAGGCGGACAGAAGCTATTTCAGGAAAGCAGTTGTAACTCAACCTTTCTTTTTCAGCATCTTCTTTGAAAAAACAGAGCCTTAAATCAGTCAATCAGAATGATGACGTAGTTCATTTTTCAAATTCTCTTTCAAATAACTTTGAAACAAATAACCGCTCGCTTTCAAGTTTTTAAAGCCTACGTAGACCTTTCTGATATTGGTATTTTGTCACCTTTATTACTTCGTGTATACCAAAAAGAACACTGTATGATTAATATTTCGCCCCAAATGAATGAATGCCTCAATGAATGTCAATAAGAAAAAAAGAGATCAGCAAACCCATCTGGGAAGGGAAGCAATAGTCCTCCAAGGTTTAAGCTAAGACGGGATAAGCTCTGCAGTTATGCGAGCCAGTCTCATATGTATACTACACCCACCAGTTTTAACAGATGCGTGAATGTAGCTTCTAGTTGCATAATAAACCCAATCGAATCCGGCCTCATTGGCCATCCTCCCTAGCTGAGGGTATTTAGCCCTATCAAGGTCTTCTGTGGTGATGTCGACAGCTCGTCCTTCATGGTGTAGAGAGTGCTTGCCATGGTGGTGTTTTTTACCACTGTCTACATCGTAAGCATCGATAACTCGGAGCCTGACGCCCCATTTTGTTTTCACTGCAGCTGCTAGAATGGCGAGTTTGTCTTGGCAATTCTGAGTAACAAGTAAACAGTAAACAAACTGTGTTAGGGGTAAAAGCTATCATAGTAATATTGACTACTGGGCATAATTTTCAGCCAGGCTACGGTATTATCGATTAACATGCAAGGACACCGCAAATGTTTTCCCCATGAGCTCTCTAGATTCTAAGTTAACAAAACTGAAGACAGCACGTGCACTTTCTTGCAGTCCCCAATCATTATTTGATGAGTCAATTACGTTCTTATTTCAGTGTCCTTGGTTGATAATCGAATTATCGCTTGCAATTGTTTAAAATGCTCTTTCTTAAAAATAAGCTGTAATTCTATCGACATGCACTGCTCACAAAATGCTTTGATAATCTCAAATGCTCCACTAAGCAGGTAAGCTCTAATGGGACAGGAAATGCCGTTCTTTGAAAAAACGCATGAATTGTAAAGCAATAACCACTACTAACAAAAACAAAGCTTAACATTTAGAACTTCAGAAATTCGGTTCGGAAAGTTGATTCGAGAACTCGATCAACGTATCATCGGTAGTCTTACGTCTGGGAGTTAAATAACATTTTCATTTTAAAAGCTTTACTTTTGTATGAGGTTTTTCGATGTGGTACAATTTCCTTATAAAATGGAATAAAACCTTGAAATAACAGTTTGCTGTTGTGCAGAAAAACAACAGATAAACAAGAAATGAACTTAGATGGATAAATACATTATGATTAACACAGATTTCAAATGATGACAAGCAGAATTTTCCCAGTTACTCTGTCATATAGCCCCTTGAGTTTTCGATTTCTAACCCGTGCAAAATTTGCGATCAATAACATTTTACCGACACTTTCGAAACGAAGCAAAAGTAACGAATTTTTACGACCGGTTAACGCTTATTATCTGTATGTTAGCATTTAGCATTTAACATTTAAAATTGCATGGGAATACCATCCCAAATATAGCGAATTTGTCTATGTATGGCCGTACATGAAGCAAGTAATCCATTTATGGGTAATGAAACCAGAACATTTGATTGATTACTCTCTAGCATTTAGTCGTAATTTTGGGAATAATCCGACATTTCAACAACGTTTACCTTGGTCATTCTTCTATCATCTTCATTTTTTTCGTCGTTTTTGAAAACGATATCTGTGTTAAAGTTTTCCTCCAATTCACTTCTCTTTACTCGACCGACATATTCTCCACTGGCTTGTATTGAGGTCTCCTCCACATCAGGGATTCTTTGTCGAAACTTCATCGGAGTCCTGGAACGAGTATTTGTTCCGGTTGGCCCGGGACCACAGGCCAGAAGGCTTCCACACACAAACGAAATAATCGCCAAAGTAAAATATACTTGAGGAACAGTAGGCAGTTTGGACCACAAACAAACACGCTGATACAAGCGGAATGTCATCTTTCTTTTGAGGAGCTTTAACTGAAGTACGAGATTGATAATGTTCTCAGAAGGCGCAGTGTCGCCGATCACTCTAATTAAGAAAATAAAGAAATAGCCAGTGTTCAAAATCCTGTATTCATCAATGTACTAGAGAGAAAGAGGGAATGCTATGGAGGCAAGGAAAACCTCGTAGCGCTCTACGACAACATCAATTGACTTTGCGTTATAAGCGTTCAAGAAGACAATACAAAACAATAAAACAACTACTTAGACGGAGCGAGAACTCCAAGCTATTTCAAAAGCTGCCGATCTGTTGGCGACAAGCCTGGATTCGTAAAGTAAGATCAGCGTCAATAGTTCCTCTTTGAAGAGGGACGAAGCTCTTGACTTACATCAGACTTACCAAAAGAACTGAACAAACTTCTCTGCATCGTAATAAATATCAGGTCGTCTTCGTAACTTGATCGAGTACTGAAACCCTCGGGCTTGTCTTTGGCATTTTTGGACCCCTGGTGGTAAAGTTTTTTCGCTGGATAAAATCGGCAACCACAACTCCACCTTATGAAGGGAATAAAACACACAAAACTCAGTGATTTGTGAATCAATCTAACGTTGCACTCTGGGGCGTCATTAGAAGACAATAGCAACTATGAGCAGGAACAAAGCTGTACTGCTTTCTAATCACCAGTCTTGCTAATTTGTTGGTGAATGTCAACGAATAGTAGTTTTACTAAAAGGTTTTCATGTTTAATTAGTGCCAATGTACATTCGTGACTTGAGAAAAGACAATTAGAGAACTCTCGATGGATCAATCACCTTCCCTGTTAATCTCATCGAACTTCGTAGTGAAACGGTCGTGAACCCTCGACACCTCTGACAGACCTCTGCACGCTTCGGCTGGACAAGGATAACTCAAGTACTAGTTTTCTCGCGCTTTTAAGGATGAATTTAATCAAATTAACAGCAATTAGAAAATCCAGTCATAACTGTCTTTGTACTTGAGATATAGGCGACAACAGAGATTTTGCTGGAGACTAATTTCAACATTTCAGGTCTAATCCGGCCAGCGGGTACGACCGCATATGATAAGGTTTATCCGCTTGGAGATCTTAGATAAATTTTTCGACCGATCTGATATCTCACTGATATGCATGTTTTGAACCTCAAATAAAAAGTCTTAAATACTTTATGTCAAAAAGCTTAAAACTTTAACGGCTGTAAGCGCACTAAATCTTCAGCTTCCTTGCGTAAGTTGAATATTTCACTTGGATTTTGTCAAAAAGCCAGTTTAATTATAATAGTATTATCAGCATTAAAATACAAAAAACTCAAAGCAAACAAAAACGATTGAAATGAAAATAAAAATAAAAAAGTACAATACAAAACAGTCTACTTTGGGGGAACGAATTGCTTTAACGAACAAGGTCAGAGGACAGCGCGGTTTGAGTTTCTTACTGGCCCAAATCAACTACACAGCAAATAAATCAAAAGCTTTTTTTAATTGACATCTTAAAGCTTCCTTTCCTTTGTTATCATTTGCGTTGGCGGAGCGTCTAGTCATTCATTCTTCCTATTGCTTTATATTATCTGGGTTATAAAAAAAAAACAACGATCGATAAAAATAGCATTTAGTTCAAAAATAGCGGCTTGATTAAAATCACAGTTCAGCCCTTCTTTGTGTTCCTCCTCTCATTAAAACGCCGGGCCATTTTGCTCTTCAGAGAAAGTTTTCAATTTTCAGCTGTAAGTTCATGTAAAAAATTCACCTTGATTATATGATTAGCTGTTAACATTCTTTACAATTTGAAAAACAGGAGCAATACTTCGGTTGCATTAGAGTCCCTTTCGGTCCATACATGTTCTTTCCTTGAGTAAGTATTTTCTTTTGTTCAAACCAAACTTAACTTTGTATCAAAACAATCCTCGTGCCATTTTTACCATAGAAGGGCAATTGGTAAGGGCCGATCCAAACTGAAATATTTCAGTATCAATTTAAAAAATTCCAAGTCTTTGTCAAATCCGCAATTATCTGGTAAGTCCGCCCGCCATTCAGATGTAGATCCACCCAATCGTTTCAATAGAGTTAACGGTTGAAGGACCGGAAGAAATACATGAAAGTATTGCAAATAAGTTTTGGATTACGTTATAAATTTCACGAAAAGTTATTTCGGAGTTTATGATTTCCGTTTCGTATTTTCGTAAAATATAGATGAAAGCTGCCTGCACTGGTAACTTTTTTAAAAAATTGAAAAACTACGGCAGCATTTCGTTAGTATTGGAATTCCCAGAAGTCCGAACGTGTTTTTCGACATATAATTTTCTTCTGCCGGCTAATCTTAACTTTTTGACAACAGCATCATTTTCGTCTACCATTTTTAACGAATAAAGATAAAAGGCAGAGCCAATCTGAACGGACATATTTCAGTGTTGATTCCCGAAATTCCAAATCTTTGTCAAATCGACAGTTATCTGGCAAGTCCGCCCGTCCTTCAGTTGTAAATCCATCAAATTTGTTCAAATAAATATCACAAGTTGAAGGACCGGAAGTAATGAGTTAAAAATGTTACAAATAACTTTAGGATTTCGGTATTAATTCATGGAGTTACTTCGGCATTGATGATTTCCGGAATAAAAACAGTCTTTGTCTATTTCGAAATTGGCTCTAGCCAGCGCTACGTATATCCTAAGCGGAAAAAAAAAACAATTTAAACTTTTGACCGGTAAAAGTATCAACATAAAGCTGAATGACTGACACAAAGACAACTGTAAGTGTGTAGGGCTCGTCAGAGACCTAGAAAAATGGCTGGAATTTGAATATGCCCATAAGATTTCGAAAAAGCAATTTGGGTCTTAGACAAAGTTGTATAACGGTAATTGAAAAACGTTATTCTGGTGGATAATGAAACAATACATACTTCTGGATTCGAAAAGTAACTTGAATTCTTTTTTTTTTTAGATGACATAGCACTTCAATCTAATAACTTTTCATTTGGATATATCTACAAAGTTGAAATGGTAAATTGGCCACCGTAACGATTACAAAAGCTGACGTTTCGAGCGTTAGCCCTTCGTCGTCGGAGCGAATAGAGGAATTGTGGGTTGTGTGTGCTTTTAAAGGCAGAAAATGGAGCTACGTTATTAGTGGGAACGTGGCAACGAGAAAAACACGAATAAATTAGTGGAATGAAAAGCGTTCGTTGATCCCTGTGGGATTTAGACTGCCGGTCTGAAAGATGAGCTTTTGTTCAAGAGTTTGACGGCTTTCCGTGCTAGTGTAAGGAAAGACCGCAGATTGCCATATGTTGCTTAGAATGATTAGGTAAATTAAAATGTCTAGCGACTGGTTTCGATGAGTCCTTGTCATTCTTTTCCACGTCTCGAGGGTGTTCTCGGAATCGGTCACCTAGTCTTCTGCCTGTTTCGCCGATGTATATCTTTTTGCAATAAGTGCAAGTTATGCATAACTTGCATAACATATCTAAGCGAATTATAAAATGTCTGCCATAATGCAGCAATGTAATGACTTCAGCGGCAGTCAAAATAAAGACGTTAGGCTTTCATGGGAGACTAACATCCACAATAAAAAAAAAAAAAAAAAAAAAACGCCTTCAAATATTACCTCTCCGTTGATAGTTTGAAAAAGATACATTTACCAAATAAAAAAGGAAGGGACATTTTGAAATTAAAGCTAATAATGACGCTTATGAGTTAGCAACATAACAATAATGGTAAAGTTTGAACACGTCCTCTCGAGCAAAGGAACATCTCCATTTGTTTCCTCACGATTGTAGCTTGGAAAACTGAACCATTACGTTAATTCGAAGTAGTGAAAGAGCTAGAACGTTTTTGTTTTGTGAAGACAAGTATGCACAGAACATACATGTGAAATTTATCTTAGTTTCCAATGGAAAAGAGGAAGCTACAGAGCGAATATTCTAAACTGAATATCTTATACCAATGCACTAAAGAGACGTTACGTCATGATTTCTGGAGTCACTACTAACGTCAAAACCTTGCTCCTAATTCCTTAAATCGTCTGACTCTGCAGATGTCTACCACTATATTGAACTGAATGAAGTCAACCGGTGTTATCAATCACATCAGAGTCATTGAAGTACTTCCATACTATCAGACAGCGAATTTCGCTTTTTTACGGAATCGCAAATTATGGGCAATGGAGTACATAGACGTGACGGACTGAAACTTTTTCACGGGCAAGGAATTGGAGTCAAATCGCAACGACTGTTCATTCTATTTCACACTGACTGATCTTGTGATTGACAAATTTATGTGCGAGTGTCCCAGGCAAATGGGTACAAGTAACATTTCGATCCTTCTTGCTTTTCCTTTGGAAATAGGGATCCATATCCTGTTTTGTTAGAATCAGAATTTAACAACACATAATAATAATCTGAAGTTCCAACAGCTAGCCCTGACGAAATAAAAGTTAACTTACTCAAAAGAGTTCCTTCCTTAAATGTTGTTCGACAATGCTGTTGCTGGAATTGAAAATCCCAACTTCAAGTCCCATAATCTTAAGATATTGCAATCTTATGATATTGCAACCTTTATATATTGCAACGCGCCATAAACTTTGTCCCTCACAGCGTGAGCGTTCAATCTGATATAACTGCTACAGAAAAAAAAAAAAAAAACACTCTCTTAAAAGGATTTTGAGTCGACACAAAGATGGAACATTGCAACTCGAGGTTATATTTCTTTAATTACCTCTAATCTCTATGGGAAATATGCACGGCATAAACAAACCAATCAAGTGTTTAAAAAAAACTTCAAGTGGTCACGCGCCTCTGTATCAACAGGTGTTTACTCATAAGTTCGCCAAGTTAGATGAAATGTTTTTAAAGGGGAGATTTTTAAAGGTTTAAGGTCTCGGAGAAGAATAAATAGCAATGAAATAATGTACCTTGCGTCTAAGTTCCCTTGAATAAAAGGTGAGCACCACCGATATCCGACCCTTACGGTTCCGAGACAGCCACTTACGCTTTAAAGGCTCGTTTTGTCTCAATATTTTGTCTAATCCCAAAATATCGACGACAATACTCTATTTTGTCGGGCGCGTAGGACATCTGTATCACATAGCAACGTACAATGTCGTTACATCCAGACGTAATCACCTTACAACCTTGTTATCTTCTTCTTATTGCAAACAAATCACTGCTCCGAGATGTTTTTGTTAAAAGATAGATTATTGGTAATAGGAGAAAATTAAAAAGAAATTTTAAAAAATTCAGCAGATATATTATGCAATGATCACCTTCCCTGAAGGGAGAAGATGTAAGTAGAAATACAAAACCACCGAACACTATTAAAGGTGCAACAGGAAGGCTTTATTTTAGTCCTGAAAGAGTAAAGGAAATTACTTGAAAATTTGTGAGAAAATCTTGTCAAGTCTAAACAATAAACCTGTCGACAGATTTCGCAAGACTGTCGGAACTTGTCTCTTCCAAGTAACCTAAATTTTAGCTCCGTTCTCCTTTCTCTTTTAAATTTCGCTATCAAATAAAGAACATAAAATGTTACATCTTACATAAAACGATATGGATTCCTTGTGTTCGATTTTCCAATGATTCTTGAGCCTGCACTAAATATACTGTACTTCTAAAAATAAGGAAACCTCAAAAAAACAATTTACTTCAAACAAGTTTGGACTAGTGGCCCACCCTCGAAGCGATGACACACTTAGTTGGAATATAAAGATAACTGAACAATTAAGTAGTTACAGGGGGTTAAACTGATTTACAGACTCCCTGGTTGAACAGTTCCAATTTCAATCAAATCAAAATTGTTTGAAATTAAATTGATAAATCGTCAATCTAAAGCTTTAAGATAATAATAACAGCTCTAACGCTTTTTGTCGATATTTTGAAAAACTAATTTTGCAGAGGGAAAAGTGGTTTACAACCACCCTAGCACGACTAGGATGTTTTTTTCGTTCTAGCATGTAATCCTAAGCAATGGTCTGAACGAAAACTATTATA